TGAATTTGTTTGATTATTGTGGGAGGTGTTGGGAGACTTGCTATTGTTGTTGTATTTATGTGCCACGTGGTACGCCCCTATTGGAGCTTAATAGGTGGCTTGTAAGGGCTCGGGCTAATTTACCTTTGGTCAGGTAATTTAGCACCGAGTGAGGGTTATGGCTCGAGGTTAATGAAGGGATATAAGGATGGTTATTTTTGCACATTGTAATATTTCTTATATTTGTTGGAATTATATTATTTTTGGTTCCCACTTAGTAAGCACACACTTAACTGTTTGTACACACTATCATAAATTGGCTTTGGTTACTGGAACTTTTGAGTCTCATTATGTGGTTAACAATTTTCAGGAGAAGAGCCACGAGTGACACGTGGAGGAGTCTCAGAGGCTTAGTGGCATAGATCCACCGTCTCTTTTGGGTATTTGATTTATAATTTATAATGTTTTATATTGTCAATATTAGGGCTTTTTGTTTATTGACAATTATATGAATATATAAATGTAATTATACCTTTCAAACTATTTCTATTTTTGATACACTTTGGATGATTGTAAATTTAATATTTGGTTTACTTTGGATTGGTTAAAATGGCATGATTATGAAGCCAAATAACTGGCTTGTTTTGAAAATTGACTAAATTATTTATTTTACTTGTTGGGAGTATAAGAATGTACAAATTTGATTTAGTTTACTTGTTGGGAATATAAGGATGGACAAATGTGATTTAGCCTAATGGCATGTGGGAGGTAAAAATTTAACTGAAATGTTGTATTGTGCGAGTTGAAGCTAATTATAAAATATTTTTATATTGAAATTATTGATCTAAAATGTGTTGGGTGGCTGTAACTCAACTATGGTTGAGTTAAATTATTTAAAAAAAAATTTGGTGTGTTACATATATTATTAGAGAATGAGATAAGACGGGTGGAAGTAAGGGTGTTTACAGGACTAGATAGGATTGGGACATCAAAAAATGATCAAGACTTAATTTTTATCCTGTGTTTAGTCTCATTCCAAAAGTCATTCCATTTCACTAAGAATCAAGATGGGATTCAGATGAGATCGAGACATCCTATCATCTCGATAAAGCAAAAAAATGTTAAAGAAAGACTTATATAATAACATTTATTAAAATTTTAAATTACATAACTTCTTAAGTTTAAAACTAAAACGATACAACTACATCAATCACAACTACAAGTGTATAATTTAAAGTTAAGTATAAATAAGGTATAATGCATGATGATACTTCCTCCGTTAAAAATATAAAATATTTTTAACTAAATTTTATCTTTCAATAAAGTAGTTACTTACTTTCAAACTAATCTCATCTTTTCATATTCACTCCTATTAACCACTTTATAATAAATAAAAAGTCATTGTCAATAGGTGTACTTTTAAAAAAAAGACAATGATTATATTTCAAAAGACTAAAAATGCCTTACATTTTTGAACATTCAATTCCTTAAAAAATGCCTTACATTTTTGAAGGAAGGGCGTAAAAATTGTAAGTAATCTCTAGGTTATAAAAGCAACAATAACAGACAAGTCAGACACAATATTAATTCACTGTTTTTCTTCTTTAGTTGAGATATGTTAAGCTAGTGACTCTTCCAAAAATAAAGCAAAAATACAATATAAATAAAAATTATCAAATAAATAGATATAAAAATAAATTATATTAATATACTTAATATATTGTAAAGAAATATATTACCATGTATTACTTACTCTATATCATTAATCATTAATATAAAAAACTTTTAGGTTTAAATAAAAATTACACATATTGATATTATAATTAATATAAGCATAAATTATATTAATATAATTAATATATTTAATGTATATTTTTAAAATAAAAAATTATATATATAATATTTAGGAGGAGATGCCCTAAGAATAATCAGATGTCCCTTCTTATCTTGAATCTCTTTCCCATTTTATTTTATGAAGTTGTGTCTCGATTTTTAGATTAGGATATGATTTGTCTTAATATGATTATAATGAAATTGAGTTATATGAAATGAGTATTAGTTGAACAACTTAAACAAAAGGATGTGCTAGGAAGTGAGTAGAGAAGTTTTTATTATTATTTTTTTGGTTGTCCATCTGATTTACTGGAGCAAAGCTCCAACTATATCTAAATCCGACTCGAGTCGCACTTTGGTGAGTGAGTCTTTAACAAAAATTTTTAACAAAAATGTTCTACATATATAAGACATGAACTCGAGATTTTAGTTAAATGAAATCGAATTGTTTATTACCCAAGATCAACAAATAAGTTGACCCCCACATTGGTGTGTCTCCCCTTGAAGCACTTGCTGGCATGTCTATGTTTTACGCTTTTTTTTTTTCCCGAAAAATTTAAGCACCTTGGCTTGGGGAGCGCGCTCCGGCAGGACCCTCATTAATCTAATTCCAGCAAACACCTCCAATTCATTTGCGTTGATCGTGTTAGGGCCTTCGCGAATTTTCCTCCTTTGGCAACCCTCAGGAAGTTCCCAAAGCTGTCATCCCTCACCAGATCCAAACTGCCGTTCATGAAGTTCCTGCCGCTCCACTGCTCCGTCGAATCCGTCACGCCACACGCGCAGACACTGTTCAGATCCTTCACTTCGCCAACGCCGTGGCTGAACAGCTCCATTCCGCCCGGGACATAGCCGACCAGAAAGCAAAGTATCACAAACTACTTGAAGCTGCCGTTGACACCGTGGAGAAGGCTTGCGTTGATGTAATCCTTTTTTTACTTTTCGCACTTATTTATTTGTTTTCTTCATTAAGAGACACGGGGTTTCGCATAATAAGTTTTAGTTATTCTAATGGAGGGGGTTCTTGAAATGTAATTTGGTTTCCACTCTTTTGCCCTTTTTATGTTTTAAAAGCTTCGAAAGTGGTCTGAGATTCATGGGTTCTTTAGAAAAATGAACAAACTCTAGTTACAGTGGCTGATTTTGGAGTCAAGGCTCAATAGTTTAGGTAATATAGAATGTCAAATTCCTAATTAACTATTATTTTTATGAATTCTTGTGTTATATGTTCAAAGTCAGTATAACCATTTGATTTATATTGCTTTTAAAAACTCACTAATGTTCACAGAGTTGGGCGATATGAGCCATCAGACATTAATTTAATGCACTACAGCGAAGTTTCCTCCTCTTACAGCCACGTGACAACATATTCCATATTCATATTTAGCATTGAAATTTCATTATACCTTTTTTTGGGTTACCCCTCTAGAATATTGAATGAGTAACCTAAAATTTTTCCTCATTCATTCTCTTTCCTGTCTAGAGGATACTTCGCATTTTGTTTCCTTTGAGTATCGAATAGATATGTTTATTTTGCTTCAAATGATCAGAATTAATTTCATTTTCTGGGGATGAAATTTTCTTTATGCATCTGGTGTAGTTCAATGTGATTACGGAGTTAGGTAGGTGTTCCTTCTTTTCCACTAGTGGCTGGGGATGACCCTGCTTTCCTGTGTTCAAGATAGTTGATACTGTAGTAAATGCAGTGACTTCTAAAACAAGCCCCACTAATAAACCATGACACAACCGATATGCTTAAAGAAATTGATAGGGGAGGAAGAATTCTTTTGAATTCAGATCAAAGCCAGCCCATATTCGGTGGGCACATCTAAGCAGTTGAACTGAGTATTCTAAGCTCATGCATACCACTTCAGGATTTGATTTCATGATTAATATTTCTATGCTACGTAGGATGGTCATTCACAATGCTATTATGTACTTATTTGATGCACAATGGTTTGTGTTTTCTGCGATTAGCTTACCAATTACACTTTTAATTCTATTAGGCCTTGAGATCTTTATCTATTTACTAGTTTGCATTGGGAACATGTGATTATTTTCTCTCTTTTTATCATGTACTTTTTAACTTAATAAATCCTATGGATAAATACAGGTGCTTGATCCAATTGATGGCACATTGGATTTTTTAAAATCTAGCAAAGCCTTATACGTGGTACTCTCAATGAAGGTTGATTCAGTTTCTAGAAATATCATTTGAAATTATTTTCATTATATAACTTAGACAAGTGCCTAGCTAGAGGTTCGTTCAGGAGAGCTTCTGGTGGTACAATATTTCTTTGTCGGTGACAATCGCTATGCTCAGAAATAGCCAATAAGTGAACATAGCTTTAATATCTAACAATAAGGAATGGTTGCTTTCTGTTAATAGAATAATCTCTGCAGTTCATCATTTATTATTAGCTTATTAAACTGCATCAGTACTCTTTAATATCTAGCTGGATTTTATGTAGATGATAACAGTAATATGATAAAGAAGCCTTAGGTTGGTAATTTTTTTTTCAACTACTTTGATATTCAACTCTACTTCTTTGTTGTCTTCTTTCAACATCCTTCTTCTTCTTCTTATTATTATTATTATATTTTTTGCCCAAAACTTTCTTCTTTAACATATTCATTGTCTTTAGGAAGGTGAATTGTAAAGAATGATAGATATCGTTAGCTATATGCTTTTGAGCTTAGGATGCTTTAACTAATTTTACCAATTTTTAATATGAAGATTGCTTTACTTCTAGACCTGGTTTAAAAACAAAAGCTAATACTGTGATTCATTAGTATGTAAGCCTCGTTTGCTTCAGTAAATAGCCAGAGGAGCAATAAATCTAATACTTGTGTATTTATTGATGGACCTTTCTCTCCAGGATTGATGTCAGTTGTGGAATCTTTTTAATCATCGTTATTTGTTTGCACTGTACATCAATGTAGGCTTTGTTAAGAAATTGACTTTAAGGATTCAAAGATGATCAATTAAACTTTCAATTCATTATAATTAAAGGATTTGTATGTATCTTTTGATGGCGTAATTGACAAAGGTATTATTTATTCACCCCCTTTTAGTGTAAACTTGTCAAAATTATTTTAGAATATTTAAATTTAATGCCATACTTTATATACTGATGATACTTTATTCTTGTTGTTCATTTACGCTTGTTCTCCTTTGATGCTTTGTTAAGAGAGAAGAAGAATACAGGGGAGAAGAGGCTGATTCATTTCACAAAATTGGCTAGGAAGGCAAAGTACGGCATATATCCTAAACCTAGACACGTGCCTCAATAGGTAGGGTCCTAGACTGTAAATAGCTACCCCTAGTAATCAACAATAACATAAAAGACAGCAATAACATAAAAGAACAGTAAAGACAATAAAGCCCTCATCATAAATTAATGTGTAACATGCTTGGTCTAAGAACTCTGCATCAACGGTATGTACTTTGTCTTGCAAGGCAAACGATATCTCAGGCTGATTGAAAACATCCTTTTGTTGCTTGTTCTCATATTGTTGTTACTTTGTTTATTTGATTCAAGTACCTTTAACTTACCAAGAAGCAAACTCAAGAACATATAATTCCATGTGGTTTTTTAGTCACCTAGGTGGTTGGGCTTGAAATAATTTACATATTTTTTTCACACTATTTCTCATTTGGATATAAAATTGAGATGGGTGAATCAGCGTGAACTTTTCCTAGTTGAACGAGGCACCTAATTGTGAAGTTGTTCTATTTTCTCAAGCACGGCAATTCTGCATTTACATGTTACTGGGAACAATGAACCAACTAGGAGATAGTGTGTGAAGATTGGGTTTGTGTATCAAAATGATGAACCAGCATGGGAAGCTAGGTTCCTTGATTGACCCTGAAGACTTCTCCTATGGGCAAGTCTCTCAGCGGCCTAATTTTATGGTACTCATTATTGCCAAATTGATTTTCTCTCTATATTAGAAGCTCATTTGTTGATTATTATACTTTGTACATTACCATTATGGAGTATATATTTATGCTTCTTAGTGTTTAAGTTTTGCCTTAATTAGTTTTTTGAGTAATGATTTATTATGAAATTTATTAGCATTTAGTAAAGATAGAGGTATGAATATGATTAAGCAAGACGAATATTTTCTTTTTCAAAAGGAAAAAAAAAAAAAACCTGTGGGAGTGCTTCTTCATAGATGGGCTCTTGTAGCCCTACTTATGGGAGCACTTTTGCCTAAAAGCGCTCTTGTAGCCATGCCTATGTATGGGAGCACTTCAGAAGTGCTTTTGTACATATGAGAGTGCCTAATAGGTCAAAGAGAAGTGCTTTCGCAAGCATTTTTTGGTAAGTGTTATAGAGGAGAGTCAAGGATTTTGCACCATGGGAGAGAGGCGAGTTGGTTCCATCTGTTTATGCAAAATGATCGGAGCACAGCTCAATAATAGTATAACCCTTGTAGCTGAAGCAATGCCTATATCTAGTGCTCGACCAAAATTCTATGTATGAAAAAATGCTATAGTTTGGGATAGTTGAGCATATTTAGGAGTTTGATTACATCCATTTTTTATTGTAAGTGGATTGATAATAATAATGGCCTTCAAATTGATGAGTTAGGTTTCATACAAGTGGATAGTGGATCTTAATGGAGAAGTTTATAAACACAAGTTTTTAACTTTGTCTTCGCAATTTAAACAAGTATTCTATGTGCTTGATCTTGTTAAATCAAAATGATCCATTATTTTATTGAGGAACAAAATAAATGAAAATGGGTGATGATTGGAAGTATTAAGATACTACAGTTGTTAATAGGCCATTTATGGAGACATTATTTGAAAGTGATTTCACTGAAGATGATGCCCTTATATGAGAAATGATCACAACGGATGTATTTAGATTTCAAAAATGGGTAAATAAATTTGAGCTAAGAAGGAGAAAAAGATCAGGAATAGAAAAGGAAAAGAAAAAAAAATCAACTTAAATGTGTGTTACTTGTTATGTGTGATTTAATTTTCTAAATCATTATTGTGTGGTTGAATTTTTTTTTTAAATTATTACTTGTCTGATTTGATTTGGTTCTCTTGCGAGTTATATGTGTTTTTTGTTTTATAGGTAAATGGTTTTCTCAAAAGAATAGTGGACCTAGAAGTATTGATCCAAGCAATGTTCTCAGTGTCATGATGAATGACCAGCAACTTTAGCAAGAAGCAAAACAAATAAGGAGAGGATTGACATTAATGACAGAGGTGAATAGAGAAGAGCTAATGGGCAAAAATATGAGATTGAATGGAATTCCAAAGGTCAACCAATCAAGGCCAATAGAAATAAACTGATCAGTTATATAGGGTTGTGGCTAAGGCGAATGTACCCATTACAATTAGGAATTGGCTTGGTGTTGATCAAACAATGAAAAATAATATTTGGGAACAAGTAGAGGTAAAATGCTTTTCCAATAATCCAATTAATTAATTGTAATTACTTGATCGAGAATTTGATTAATTGCTGTGTTTTGCAGTCAACATTTGAAATTGATGCCAGTAGGAAGAAGTATGTCCTCCAACAAGCTGAGAAGGCATTGCGGGCTTTTGGTACTTTGTTGGAATGAAGTATATTAAAAATCTGGTGGAACCATCAGTCCTGAGGTTCCAAAATTATTAAGACCATTGATTGCACAACAACAATGAGACGAATTTGTTGCTCAATGTTCCAAGAGCAATTCCAAGTGAGAACTATTTTTTTATTATTATCAACTAATGGTGTATATGTATAGGTTTATTGATATGAGTCTGCGTTTTTGCACAGGAATTGAGTAACCAAAATAAGCAGTTGCATGAGAAAAACCTAGACTCTTATAAGAAAGGGCACCTAGGGTATGCAGGCATTGAGCAGCAATTGGTATGTAAATATTTAGATTATTCAACTTTATGTTTATTTCATGGATATGTAAGATACTAATTTATATTCAACTTTGATCAAATGCGCAGATAGAGCGAGAGGCTGCAGAACCAAGTTTAGCAAGCCAGACTAGCAAAGAAAAAAATGTAGATGATGAACATTTTCAAGAAGTTAATAACAGATGTGTAAGTACTTAAGTTATTGTCATTTTTTCTATAATCAATCAATTTATTTAACTCTTTTGCTATATGTTGCACAGGCTGTTATTTCTTCTGAAGTCAAAAAAGGCGACTTGCCAAAGGATAAAGATATCTTGGGCAAAGCATTGGGTAATCCTGACCATCTTGGTTGGGTAAGGGGTAACAACTTTACAAAAAAGCAAATATTAAAACAACACAGAGAAGTCAAAGTCCCAAGATAAGGCTCTTGCAACTGAGGTTGCCGAGCTGAGAGCAGAGTTAGCTAGGCAACAGGTAATGATTGAGGCCTTGTTAAAGGCCCAGGAGATGCAGCAAGAGACAATGCACATTAGCGCTAATAAGGAAGACAGTTACACTGTAGATCGGCCTGCTAAAGAGCATCTTGAAGTAAAATATTGCTTATTGATTAACTTAGTTTACGTTGTTTTCCTTTTCCCTGGCATTAATTCAGTTTACAATTTGTAGGATGGGATCAAATATGAGTTGTTGGCAAATAGCCCAAATCGCCACACAGTTGCAATTGGTCGAGTTTACTCGGGAGACATTGCACCTAATAAGCCACTCCCTGCGGACCATGTATGGGTTTATATTGAGAAGGCTATTGATGCCAGCTATAAATTGCCTGTTCCCATCAAGAACAAGGAAACTGTAGGAGAGGTAATAGGCAGCCTTGTTGCATGGCCAACTATTCTCATTAAGATTGCAACTCCCAAACATAAATGCTGACACTCATGTTTATGTATTAAATATGTAATCCCTTTTCTTTAATTGATTTTGGTGCACAGTCCAAAGGGAAGAGCCTATCCAAACAGTTTGGGCACTCATCAAAAATTGTTGCCTCTACGGTGATGCCAACGCATAAGCCTCAATTGTCAAACAAATATCAAACTGCACTTGACGTTTATGCAAAGATGTATAGGTCTAATCCTCCAGTTATGAATATCCAATTTGATCAAGGAATATACGGCACTGAACGAGTGGATATGCTTTCACTTGAGTTGGTAGATGAAGTCTTGAATCACGAAATGACTAGCATCCCTGTTCTTAGTTGTTATATAAGGTAAAACTTCTATCACATATGAATAGTTAGTATTTTAAGTACATATTAAATTATTTGATATATTAATGTTAGGTACTTGTATGATAAATTCATAATTCCTCGTGGCCTGCAAACGAAGTTCCTCTTTGTTAGTCCCCACGATGTAGGTGCTCATGCTAATATTAAGAAGGAAGATTTTGAAAATCAAGTCAAGTATTTATCTGATAATTTTCTGTCAAGGGCTGATAAGGAGACGTTATTTTTGGTACCTTACTCTCAAGGGTGAGTTACTTGCATGTTATTGTAATGGGTTTTTTAATACTTAATTTAGTTATTTAGTTGTGATTTTGTAACACTTGTTAATTCTCTTAGGGACCATTGGATATTAATTGTCATTGAACCAGCTGCTGCAAACTCCAAGGGTATATTATCTCGATTCTCTTGGTGGGAAACCAGAAACGCAAAGGATGTTATTGGAATTAATTAATAAGTAAGTGAATTAAATAATATATATATATATATATGTTGTTGAATTCCTCACTAAGTTTCTTGACTTTATTAGGTCAGTTGTGTTATATCGCACAGCCAACAATCTAACAATACCAGAGTTTAAATCCTACAACCTGACCTACACTTGGAAGACAATAAAGGTAATTAGTAGTTATTGAATTTAATTGTTTATAATTATTTAATTTATTAATATATATTTTTGGGTTTTTTTTAGTGCCCAAGACAAAAGCCAAATACGGTGTATTGTGGTTATTGCTTGATGAGGTTTATGAAGGAGATTGTTACCCATGGCCAGAGTACAATTCCTGGGACAGTATGTTAAGAAGATTTATGTTATAAATGCCAATGAATTTAATTTACTCTAACTAACTTAACTGTGGTATTTTATACATTACAGTATTATGAGGACTCATACACATGTGAATACGAGTAAGTACAAATATGAAGTAATGAAGAGTGGTGTTAATATATTCTCTAAATGTGGGTCTTGCAGAATGCCAGCAATCCATCTTGAGTAAATGGTGTCAAAATTGTGGATTAATTAATGTGTATATATTGTGTAAAACTCACAAGTGTAGATTATGAAGATTTTTTTATGTGCACTTATTACTCTAGATTTGTGTTGATTAGTTGATTACATTGACTTGATATATACTCTTTCTTTCCGTCTCTATTATAAGGGTGTTTATTAGGGGTGTTTACGGACGGAACGGGACCGGACACCCCTCCCGTGTCCTGTCCCGAGAAAAAGATCGGGACTGAAGTTTGGTCCCGTGTCCCGTCCTGTCCCGAAAGTCGTCCCGTCCCGTTAGAGTCGGGACGGGACCGGGACAAGATCGGGACGTCCCGCCGTCCCTATAAATGAAAAGTATCGAAAAAAGATCTGGATAATAACATTCATTAAAATTTTAAATCATATAATTTATTAAGTTTAAAATCAAAACAACACAAGCACATAAATAACAATAATTTAAAATCAATATTGAATCATATTAATCATAACTACACATTATAATAATAAACCAAATGATCTTTATACTATAAGATTAGTAACAATAGACAAGTCAAACATAACATCAAATCATTGTTCTCTACTTTAGTGAAGATGTACTAAGCTAATTACTCTCTAAAAATAAGCAAAAATACATTATAAATAAAAGTTATTAAATAGATATATATAAGAATAAATTATATTAATATAATTAATATATTATAAAGAAAGATATCGCCATGTTCTCCATGCCATTAAATTTATCATATAAAAAAACTTTAGTTTTAAATAAGAATTGAAGTATTAAAATTATATTGATATAAGTATAAATTATATTAATATAATTAATATATTAAAAAAAACTAATATATATAATATTCGGGACGGGACGACGGGACGTCCCGATGGTAATCCCGTCCCGTCCCGAACCTCTTTCCTGTCCCGTCCCGTAAAGTCCCGTCCCGATTATTTTCAGGCCGGGACAAAGACCCGTCCCGATATGATCGGGACGATACCGGGCCAATCGGGACGGGTCCGGACTGAACACCCCTAGTTTTATAGAAGTTTATTATCGAAATATGAGGGTTGTCATGATATTTTTGGATAATTGAATAATTTTATCCTTATATTAAAAAGAGTATATTTTAGTGTATTCTATTACCCACAACTATAATATTAATTGTGAAATTATTAGAGGCAAATCTAGAAAGTTGTGGTTTTATGTGTTTTTAATTAAACAATAATTTTTTATTCAGTTAAAAATATTTTATATATAGGGATGGAGAGAGAATGGATTAGTGAAATTTATTTATTTTTTATTTGAAAGAAATATTAATTTGGATTGAGTTATAGTTCTTTAGTTATGCTAATGAATTTCTGTTATATGCCAATTATATTGGGGATTTTGTATTTGGTTTATTGGTATTTGCGGATGTATATCGACTATTATTTTTGCTTTTCAATGATAGTTGATAACAGTTGTCATTTCTGAGGATCCAACAACCATCATTTTTGGTCATGCCAGAACCAAAATTGCCAAGTCGAGGATGTTTTATATGATGATTGATTTTTATTCCTGATATTTCTGTAGCAGTTGTTGTGATGTAAAAGGGAGGACTATTAATGATAGCTTAATATATGATTGGTTACAAAAATAATCTTCATTTTTGGTGAGTTTTGTTGTAGTAGCATCATTTTGGGGCAGATATTTTAAAAGTAAAAAAATAGAGAGAGAGAGAGAGTTGCATTGAGGACCTAATATAAACATTTTGATATTATTTACAATAATTTTTTTGTAAATTCCACCTGAGTAATTTATACATTTTTGAGTTACTAACTACACAAATAATGTATAAAATACAGACCTAGCGTTGTTAATACATAAACTTTGTTATGTTATTTATGAATATTTTAATGTAAATTCAACTTAAATAATTTGTACATTTCACACCACAGTAAGTATTTTTCAATATACCTAATGCCCTACATTCATTTAAAAAAAGCAATTTCATATATAAAAAAGCAACTTAAGATAGTACAAACACAATTCTAAGACAATTCTAATTGCATTTACATTATAATATTTCTATTAGTTAAGTCATCTTATCATTTTTGTTTTCCTTTGGAAGGTGATATAAGGCTTCCCCTCATCATCACTCATTTTGTTCCAAATTTCAGCTAATATATTATTTGAGTCCATCAATTTTGTATACAATCCTTTATTCTTATCTATATGCAATACTATGTGAAAGCGTTATAAGCTTTATAGCAGTAGATGCATGAGGACATGACAACATCTACCATGCTATTTCTTGTATAAATTTACAATGAACAAATTAATTCAGGAAAACATTTATATATAAAAACTCAACTTTTATTGTCACAGCTAAATATTTAATATAAACAGGTTAATATTCATACTTTCACAACACATAATTCGATATATTTGATAGTTATGAATTTTTCAATTCACATGTGAAATTTAATATGATAAGTAAACCATTATGATTTTACAATAAATAATCAACTCCAAAACATTCACTATCAACTTTAACAAGCAAATCAGATTATACCAACAATCAAGTTAGATTATATTATCAACCAAATTATAACAACAATTTTTATTTTAACACCATTGCAATGCATCTTTTGCAGCAAAAAATCCATCTTACATGCACCCTTATTATATTCAGAAAATGAGCATTCTATGTTGGAAAGAAACAAATGAAGAAAACATGAAATATCTAAAAAGACAAGCCTTAACAAATAATGGTAGATTTGCAGAATATATGAATATAGATTAAGAATGACACTCACTTTTACCAATATTCATGTTTCTTTCTCATCATCCATGGCGGCAGGCATGGAAAGACATACTGTGAGGTTAAGGCATAACATTAAGATAAGACTTAAACTTAACAGACGAGCTTTGGAGTTTTTCTGCAAGTCTACCATTATTTTTTGTGGGAGAGCAAGAATCCAAGCAACAATTAGAGAGGAAATATATGAAAAAAATATCAATTGGAAAGGAAAAAGACCCAACATTCTTTGGGCCCTTCTACCATCTCGTGAAATCACACAAAGTAATCCACCGCTGTCGTTGGCTGTGGCAACACTTTAGCGCCCATTGTTGTTGGAAGAGAAAGAGAAAGAAGAGTGAGGAAGGAGGAGAGAAGAAGAAGATGCAGAGTTGGTAGTAGCTGATTATGTGAGGGATAACTTGGTAATTTCAATGAAAAGTATAATTACAAATAAGGTCCTTGGGCATGTAGAAAAATTTTATAATCTATTAGGCCTTTCTATAAAAATCTTCATTTTGAATGTTATGAGTGTAATTCTTCTTCTCCTTCTTTTTTTCCTTTATTGCACTGGGTATCTTGAAATGTTTGGATATGTTGGGTTCATTACCCGCTCAGATCATTCCAGACTCGAACATAATAGTCCAAGTTAAGTTGTCTAAACTCCTAACCACTTGAACACCCGTTAGGTTTAGCAGTTAAGTTGATCCTGGTGGATCAAATCTGGGCCCAAATCCAAGCCCACATTATTAGATGGAGCCTTATTTAAATATTATTTTTTTTATTCTTAAGTGTAATATTCTTTCTTTTGTTTGAAAAGTGGAGGAAATAGTTTTTTTTCAAAGAAAAAGGATTTTCTCCTTTTCTTTCCTATTCTCTTTTCCCTCTCCTCTTATCTTTTGATTATTCAATCTTGAATTGAATGGTTTATATTTAATCTCTTATAAACTATTTCATTTCATTTTATTTTTATTGTATTTTTTGGTTATTCATATTAAATTTTACTAGTTTGATTTTATTATTTATATGTTTTAATAATTTAACATTTTAATATTAGGGATAAAATTTGAACCATTTAAATCTTAATCTAATGGCCTGTGAGGGAAAAGAATGAAAGAGAATGGGAAGGAAAAAGGAAAGAATCTTGTCCTCTTAAAAACTTGATTGAATTGGATTGAATTAGAAACTGGTCACTGGTCTGATTCGGTTGAGATCGAAAATCCAGAAGTAATTGAACGGATCAAGAAGTAGAAAATCGGTCAACAAACCACGAAAATCATGAAAAGCGAACGGTTGGCTGGTTGATCGGTTTGAGTGACCAAATCAGAAAAAAAAGAAGGAAAAACGATCGGAAGAACCAGAGAGGAGATGAAGACAAGTAAAAGGAAAAAGATTCACAAAACAATTTAAAAAAGAAGGCCTTTTTCAACAAATCACTACTTTAATGCGTTTTTTCCCTTAACAAAACTACCAAACCGCCGTAAAGGCTAAAGCTTTTAGATAGAATCATCGGCCATTTGTGGCATTCTCCAAACAGTCTCACGGCGGTGACGGGGGTAGGGGAAGGAAAGAAAAATACAACGGTAATGGAGGGTTTTTTGGTTTTTGCCTGCTGATTCGACTTTCTTCTCCCGACGTGACAGTATTTAGTTGAATGATTTTTCATTTTATTATTTTGTTATATTGTATTATTATTTATATTAATATGATTAAAGATGGGAAGGAACAAGCGGGGAGATGAAACCGGGAGAGAGTTTTGTTTTGGCTAAAATGGGAGATTAAAACATTTATTTATTTCTACATCGCAAAAGTTTGGATAAAAAATTTACCTTAATATAATTAAATGTTATTTTTTTTAAAAAAGCTACCTTATTAATTAATACTATTTATGCTTATAAAACATGGAGGGAATGAAATAAAATAAACAAAATTATCGCTTTTATGGTTATATAAAATTAAAAGAAAATTTATAAATAATGAGAAAAAAGTCATATACTTAACCTATTTACTTAAGTTGGCATGTGGATTTTTTAAAGATTATATATTCTATAATAAACTATTTTTATTAATATTATTAATACATGAAAATATATTTGTCTTGATTTTATTAGATAAAAATATATTAAGTATACAAGATTGAGTATATAAGTTGTACCC